TCTTCTTCCTCTATGCTCGATCCCATTGTTAGATGGTTCTAATTGCCACTGTCACTATGCTGCTCGTATGCTGGTTGCCTGAATCCGTTGTCTTCTCATAATCTTACCCTATGTAATGCTCGTCTATAATGTGCACATGTTATAACAACTAGTCCTGGAAACTAGGAATGAGGATTTGGAGCTATCGGGTGCCCCATACGAACATTTCATTCAAAAAAATACCAAGAAATTTTATTTTTTTTTGGAATTTTGAAATATCAAATCTGAGTTCCCGATCTACCCTCGTGTGAAATTTCATGAAAAATACCAAAAAACGTATCCGTGACGAACGAAATAATGTCCGAACAAAAATCCATCCAAACAATATTTTTCTATACACAGGATTTTTTTTGTCTTTTTTGCCACGGATACGTTTTCTTGTATTTTTTCATGAAATTTCACACGGAGTAGATCGGGGACCCAGGTTTGGTATCCCCGAAATTCAGATTTTTTTTTTGAATTTTGGTATTTTTTACGATTACTTTCCGTATAGGGGTGTGGAGCACCCAAGAGCTTTTTTTTTTTGCGAAGAGAAGCACCCAAGAACTCCTGTGTATTTTTCTGGAAACTAGATGTTTCTATATGTAATTGATATGTCTGTATGATGAAATAAATGAACTGGGGATCATCCTGTGGGGGCGTGCGCCGAACTAGTTTTTCTTATAAGCATCGGATGTGGTTGCTACGTGCTTCTTAACTTGTATCGTCTATCATTAGTGTTAATCCCAATCGTGTTCAAAAGAATCTTTTTTGTGGACTCGAATTCTTTTTTACGTACATCCATTTTTATCACAATATGTAGACTCGACAGTGTACCTCGGATCTCCATGTTTTTCTTTACTCCCGACAGTGAACTTTCACATCTTTTACACAACTAGACGGTAACAAACATTCTCTCAGGAACATCTTTTCCCTACATACACTGTTTTACAACCTAGGTGACTTGCACAAGTCTTCCACCCAGTTAATGTAGATCAATGTTTGCGGACTTCAGCTGCCGAATTTACTATGTTGTCCCATCTACTCCTTTCGTTCCCAAATTTTTGTCTTTCTAGCGATTTCAACAAATGTTATATATGGAACAAAATGAGTGAATCTACACTCTAAAATATGTCTACATACATCAGTATATGGTAGTCATTTAAAATGTATAGAAAAACAAATATTTGGGAACGGAGGAAGTACATTATTATGTACTGTTTGGTTCTGCGCGTTGGTCGAGTGAACAAATCATCTACTACCCCTATAAAAGCACGAAAGGGCGGAGAACCAAATCATCTTAACCATCAAACCATGTTAATCTGATGGTCCAAATTGTTTCATAGCATCAAACGTGTTTGACACTCTAATTACCCACCACTGCCATTGGTTATAATCACGTTAAAAAAAAGCCTCGTCTAGGGAGAACAACCGATCCCCTCCCCACCATCATGCCTGCCCACGATCTCCCGTTCCTCTCCTCAAACACAACGAGGTAGTTTCGTCCCCCACCCCCACCAGCCCCTTCCCACACCGCCACCCCTCTCTTCCGCTTGCGCGTTCTTTCCCCGCCCGCACCTCCGACATGGTTTCATGGCCGCCGCCTGGCCCGCCTATGGAAACCGGCACCATCACGCGGCCAAATCTTTGACGCCACCATGCATGGTCAAGGGGCAGGAAGCAGGTTAACACGACTAAATTCATTGCCGCGGGAGCTGCCAAGGGCGGCGGATCATCGTCTTCGGCGCCAGGGGCCAGCGACGGTCACGCACGACGACGTGTCTGCGATGGCGGATGGCGGTCAAGCCAGCGGGATGGGAGACGACGAGCAGCAGAAACAGTCTTGCTCCGGTAAGATCAACAATCCATGCTTCCAGTTCTTGGTTACGTTTCTTAATTCATCTGATTTGTCAGCGCCATGTTGTTGATCGCTAACGGCGCTTGCCTTGGAGCCCGACTGCTATCGCCGCTTCCCGTCGCGACGCAGGTATTAATATCCTGAAGCGCATATTCACCGCGTGTGCATCAATTTCAGTCGGGCATCGGCGCGCACCGGCCATAGGTGACCAACACCTGCTCGAGGGAGGACGCAGCCCCGCCCCCAAGCACTTCATTCGGAAGAAACGGCAACCATGGCCGATCCCAAAGCTCGCCAGAGCAACATCGTCCTCCAGAGGTTCCTCTCGTTCGTCTATGGCCCATGGCTCCTCGGCTTCGGATTGGGTAAGGGATGTCAGGGCGGAGGACGCTTGTCAACCCAAGCGCATGCACGGTGTCGAGATCTTCAGGACCAGGGACGCGAGCCACGCCCGCGCTCAGCCGCCTTGGAGCCTCGTGCGGCGCATCATCGTTATCAGCTGAGGCGCCTGGACATCCCGCGGGAGGATCTACGACCTCCTCGTCGTTCTTGCGCTTCTCTGGTGCTCAACGTATTGTCATGCGTGATGTTTTACATCATCGGCAGAAAAGCGAGTCTGGTCCGTCCGGAGAGAAGCAGGACAGGGTGAGCATTTTTCAGGTCTGTAGGTTTACATGGGTTCTGATCTGATGGTTCCATTTTTTCATGCTATTTATTTTCTTCACTAACAGTTAGTGATCTGAATGTTTCGGGATTCAGCAAAAGGCCTTGGAATTCCTTATCTGTATACTACTCCCTCCATTCGGAATTACTTATCGCGGAAATGGATGTATCTAGACGTATTTTAGTTCTAGATACATCGGTTTCCGAGACGAGTAATTCCGAACGGAGGGAGTACTTCGTTTTCGTTCGACCCAGCCCTGCTACAACATATCATTGTTATGTTCTGTTGTGCCATGGTGATTTGTGTGTAACTGAAATTCAGAATGAACTCAAGTTGGCATGTGCCAGTGCCTGCGATATTCTCAGGTTGCACGTTCTCGAATGCTGAATGTTTAGTCTTTTCAGACTCCAGATTGCCTCCAGTTGAACGAAGTCGAGCTGTCGCCCGTCACCTTGCTGCCGTTCTTCTCCCCTTCCGACCGGCGGTAATTTACCGATGCTTCCTGGCTTCAGTTATCAGTTTAAATATGCAAATATTCACCTCCTTTCGCAATTCTGGTCAGTTTAAATATGACTGTTGAGGATCCATTTATACTTCTACATGGTTTTAGAATATGGATAAAATCACTATCACAGTAATGTGATTTGTTCTGTAGCTTGTGTTTGGCACTTGGAAACAACATAATAGAAATTTGGTTGCTCAGGTAAGGTAAGGGAAAAAAATTATTGCCCCATTGTTTTTCTGTTTGTCTGCTTGTGATCATAATCTTTTTTAAGCCCGTATAATTTTATGTTGTTGTGAAAGTGCTATACTTTCAAATGACCCTTCGTTATTGGATTATCCATTTGTATTTAACCCTTGCAAGTTTTCATTCTTTCATTGCTTCTGATGTAATACTATTTGTGCTATACTTTCAATTAACTGTTTTGAAATTCTAAGCTTTGTAACATTTGTTCGGAGTTATCATGTTGTACCCATGGCAAGTCGAACATACATGGCATGTTGTGTGTAAGAGAGGAAATTAGTGTCTTATATTTAGAAGATCATGGTCCTAATGTCTGATCGGTGTTGAGGCTCCTTTGCCATTATTATTTTTCTTATCCATTATACATTGTTTAACATTTATGCTTTTAAAATGCTGATGGACAAGAATAATCCAGTTGCACATCCATTTACGTTAGGGGATTGTTCCCCATTTAAGGACGTACCAAACTCATTTGTAAATGGAAATGCAGAAAGTAATCATACTCGAAAACCTAAAAAGAAATGTAGTCAATCATGGTATGCCAGAATATCTGATGAGAGGAAAGCGGAATTCCTCAAGAAGAGTCGTGTCGCCCGGCAACAAAGAAGGTTGCAGCCCTGGGTAGTGTTAACCATGCACAGAAATCATGTGCACATGCTTCTTCAATAGGTCAGAACCCATCGATCTCGAGGTTGACCGCGTGGTCGCGCCAGAATACGAAACTGCTGCCACCGAGATAATTTGGCACAGTTGTGTCTGTCTAGAGGACAAAATTGGCGTGGTGATCGAGGAGGTCCTTCTTTGACAGGCAAGGCGCTCATGAACAATCCACCACTCATGCCATTGCGCTTTGCTTCCACTTCCATTGGTATTTCTTAAGCGAAAGAATTGTCTTCCCTATCTTAATTTTATTTCCTTGCTTGTTTTTTGAATGGTGCATCAGCTCAGATAGTTTTTGCACTCATGTTACCTGTGATGATATTGAGGTTATGATAATTTACATTTTACCCCCGGCATATATATGCTTCTAGCTGCATTGACTTAATGATCGAAAGGAATGATGTGTATGATGTTACATTTTTCCATCAATGGCATTTAGGGCATCTACAATGCCAGCCGCTTATACACACGCTTACGAGCCAACACCAGCTCAAGAACAACGTGAGTGATGCCGTGAAGTTAAATTCCTTGACTCCGTACATAAATGCTTAGGTACATTAAAGAGTTTTTTTCTTTTTGGTTATAGCTTTTCCAAAACTTCAAGTACAAATTCTTTTGTAATAATATTTATTTTACTTTTATGATTGGACTATTTTCTTTGATATACGTGAATTTTCACGTGCACGCTTACTAGTTTCGTCAAAAGTGACACGCATCCCTTGCCGACCGGGTAGAGGATCGGCCGTGATTCCGGACGGCTGCGTCGCGAGTGCTCCTAGTCCACCTCCAGTTGTCGCTGACTGAAAAAATCCACCCCCTTTTCTCTTCCTCCCACGTCTGGCGCCTCTCTCTCCACCACCGTATCCTCTTCTCCCCCCTCCTGCCATCGCGTTGCAAACCCTCGCAATCATGTGAACATCTCGCCATCCTCATGTACGCAGTTCCATGTGGGGCAATGCCCCTGCGCTAAACTTTCATGTTGTTTTTGTTTTTGTCAATTAAGGGACGGGAGCGGTACCAGCGATGGCGGGGACGGCGGCGGGTCGCTCCGGCCGATGGACGCGGAGCAGCTGCGGGAGTGCGGGCACCGGATGGTGGATTTCATCGCCGATTACTACAAATCCATGGAGACATTTCCCGTCCTCAGCCAAGTCCAGGCACGACCACTCTTACTCTCGGCTAATCCTGCAGTACAACTTGTTCACGTGCTGCTTCCGCACCTTTATCGCCTATATTATGACTTGGCCTATTGATTGATCCATCTACTAGCTTTAATCCATGTGTTCTGTAAATAACTCTCCGGTATGGAGTATATAACTCCGCTACTAATAATGATATAAGATGCAATACCGAACAATCAGAGCCTTCAGTGTCGGCATACTTAGCTGCCACTCAGGAATACTGTTACCATCTGTTGCCGGATTTGCAGCGGGAAAACCATACAGACCAGAGCTTGAATAGAGAGGTAGAACTATGAAGACTATATCTCAGATGTGTATGGAGGCTATGAATCACCGTAACAAATATTAGAAGTGATGGCTGCCGGGAATATGAGGAAGTAGGAGTGGAGCTGACTACCGAGGATCACAAAGACAGTAAATAATGTGGACCGAGGTTCAGAAGGTACCGTGGGTTGGCGAATATAGTGAATGGAAGTTCAGAACTGTCAAAGTTTACATACAATAGATGGTGTGGCTAACAGAGGAGAAAGTGCAGATTGTGAGGGATAATATGGTACTACTGATTGTGCCACTGAGGGAATGCAGTCGCGGGTATGGCTAAGTTTTAATGGCACACACGTACAGGTAGCAATATAACAAATATAAGTCCCATGGGCCATGGCTATAGCACATTAGGTGATTCTCGGATAATTGATACTGAAGACTCTGACATATTTTTTACTCACCCAGAATTGGATTTCATGCCTTTTCTAGTTCAATTAATGACATTTTAACGGTTTGAAAACTCTGGATCCTTCATGTTGTGAAGTGGTGATGTTGCGATTAAAAATCTAAGAAAACAGTCAAATTTACTACTCTTTTTCCAGAGAAGATGGATTGTGTGAAGGAGTATCGTTGGCACTGACTAAGATCTGTGCATCCATTTCATTGCAGCCAGGATATCTAAAGGAACTTCTTCCAGATTCAGCTCCTAACCAACCTGATACTTTGGATGCCCTTTTTGACGGTGATCTTCCCTCCAGTCTACTTTGAAGTGATATCGGAATTTAAGTTATCAATTGCATTCCATGTCTTTGCCAAAAGAAACCTTCATTCATTCAGCAAATTGTTCTGATGCCCAGATATTCGTGAGAAGATGATACCTGGAGTAACTCATTGGCAAAGTCCAAGTTATTTTGCATACTATCCCTCAAATAGCAGCACTGCTGGATTCCTGGGGGAGATGCTTAGTGCTGCCTTTAACATCGTTGGCTTCAGTTGGATAACCTCTCCTGCTGCAACTGAGCTAGAGGTTATAGTCTTAGATTGGTTTGCAAAAATGCTTAAGCTTCCAAGCCAATTTCTGTCAGATGGTAAGAATGCAACCATATATTGTGGTTTGATACATAAATTATTTGTGAAGAAAGTCCATTTTACTACCCTGAATAAAGTGGGCGGTTCACTTTACCCCCTGATCTATTTTCTGCTTCTTTTGCCCCCAAACAAACCCAAACCAGACAAAACACCCCCTGGCTAGTTTTCCTCCACCCGCTGCTGATGTGGCACTAGTCAACGACGTCTTTGATCTGGGTGGGCCCCCCTTGTCAGGTTTCTCTCTCTCTCTCTCTCTCTCTCTCTCTCTCTCTCTCTCTAGGTCAGATCCGCCGCCGGCTGAAGGAGCTCGCCCCGGGCCGATCCGTGCCCGAGCCACCCGCGCCCCACCTCCCTCACCCTGTGTCGCCCAGGAGCCGCCGCCCTCTCCCTGCCATCGCGCCGGCGTCCTACCAGAGGAGCCCCGTCCCGCGCCGCCGGCGCCTCGCTGACCCCGCCGGCCACGCCATCACGCCGCCGCGCGAGCCCGCCCCGACTACCCACCACCGGTGTTGCCTCCTGCCGACCCTGCCTGGCCCTGCTCTGCTCGCCGGTGCGCCACCGCCTCTTGCCGACCACGCCGGCCACACCATCCCGCCGCCGCGCGAGCCCGCCCCGAGTACCCACCGCCGGTGGTTGCCACTAGCGCCTCGACCCCCCGCGCCACGGCCTCCTGCCAACCCCGCCTGACCCTGCTCTGCCCGCCAGCGGGTGCAGCGGCAGCTCTATCCCAGCACCACCTGACAAGGGGGCCCCACCTAGGTCAAAACCGCCGTTAACTAGTGCCACATCAGCAGCGGGTGGAGAAAAACCAGCCAGGGGGGTGTTTTGTCCGGTTTGGGTTTGTTTGGGGGGTAAAAGAAGTCGAAAAATAGATCAAGGGGTAAAGTGAACCACCCACTTTATTCAGTGTAGTAAAATGGACTTTTTTCATTATTTGTTGATCTCAACATTATTTTTTGCAATTTAGTTCTTCTATAATATGTATCACCTCATAATTAACTGGCATGTCTAGGTAAAAAATGAATGAGAATGTTTGATTGACAAATACTGCGTGAAAACTTTGCATACTTGGTTATTCGGTATTTATTTATTGTGCGTTGCCATTCTGTATTTGTTCAACTACTCTTTATTGTTTCCTTCTTCCTTGACATATTGAGTGTCTGTCCCTAAAAAAAACATATTGAGTGCCTGGTCTGCTTTTATGGGTTTGAGTCCTAGAAATAGCCTCTTGCAGAAATGTAGGGAAAAGCTGCGTACTATAGACCCAAAGTGGTCGGACCCTTCCCCGGACCCTGCGCAAGCGGGAGCTACGTGCACCGGGCTGCCCTTTTTTTTTGTCTGGTCTAGTTTTACATAGAATCCTTAAGTACTTGTTCAAGCTACTCCATTAAAACATGCGGTCGTTTCTTTCTTTTCCGCGAGCGCCATAGCATGACATTGACTACAATTTCCAAATCATATAGTAAAATAATCGGGTAACTCAATATGAACAATCTGGCAACCACACACTATAAATCTGATAAATGGTACAACAACAACAACAACAACAAGAAAAACAAAATCTTTAGTCCCAAACAAGTTGGGGTAGGCTAGAGTTGAAACCCATAAGATCTCGTAGCTAACTCATGGTTTTGGCACATGGATAGCTAACTCATGGTTGTTGTACTCCAGTCCTTCAGATCTCTCTTTACGGACTCCTCCCATGTCAAGTTCAGTCTACCCCGACCTCTCTTGACATTATCATCACGCTTTAGCCGTCCACTATGCACTGGAGCTTCTGAAGGCCTACGTTGAATATGCCCAAACCATCTCAGACGATGTTTTTTTTAAAGGAGGAAGACCCCCGGCCTCTGCATCTAGGCGATGCATGCAGCCACTTTATTAATTATTCACAAAAGACCTTACAAAGTAATACATCAGTAAGACTGAAGCCACCGTCTAGGCAACATTTGTCGCTACTCCTATCCAATTGATGAAGAGATGCTGATAGTCTGGGCCTAATACCAAATAGACCTCGCAGCCAAACCTAACATCTAAGACCTGAGGCCCCAACCAAGCCACCTGCCGGGTATGGGGCAGCCACTGGTCCGACGCACACTCAGAGGCCGCCGCCGCCACCTGCCACCAATCCATCTTGAGAGCTGTACTGATGCATCTACCTTGCCCGGTCTAGCTGCTGTCGACGCCACCACGATGCCAGATAGTGTCACCCTCCTGCGCGAGTCCATCATCGCACATCAGACACCTAATCTCCAGGACGCCATGCCATCAATGTGTATGATGAAGCACCACTCCACCGAGTCCATTGGTCCCTCGAGCCGGTGTACACCTCCAAGAATGATGCCCCCAAGGGGGAAATGAGAAGCTTTTCTTCAATCGGTGATACCCCAACTCTATCCCATATATCATCATTCCGGACCCTGTCCTTCCTTGATGTAGGGTAGGAACCCTAGGGGTCGATCTTTCACGAAAGGAGCGGATCCCACGAAGAACACGAAGAACACAAGGGGGAAAACGAGGGAAACACGAGGGAAAAACGAGAGGAACACTCAAACTAACAAGAACAAGTCACACATGTGCTAGATCCTCGGATACATAAGAGTTCACACGGTACACGATCAACTAGGAACGATACAAGGGTAACGGTCTTCTCCGTGAGGAGGTCTTGAATCCAAAGGGATCTTCTCCGAAGAGGCCGCGGTCTCTCACGAGGAGTAGATCCGATGTGGATGAGCGAAGCTCTATCTCTCAAAATGAGCTAAACCAACGCTAACCCTAAGTAGGAGGAGGTGGAAGAGTATATATAGTCTAGGGACACGAAGGGGTAAGTGGGGGATACATGGGCCTCGGGCCCGATCTCTGTGCACAGACAGGCGCCGGTCGTCCGACGGGTACCGAACGTCCGGTGGCTCGCAAGGGTCCGGTCGTCCGGTACTTGTCGGACGTCCGGCGTTTCGGCTCGGTTGAGGTGGCGCCGGATTTCCGGGGGCGGTCGGACGTCCGGACGCTGGAGTGTGTCGGGCGTCCGGGACTTGTCGGACATCCGCTCATTTGGCTCGGGTGCAGGATCGCCGGTCGTTCGGTCCGGGCCGGTCGTCCGGTTGGTCTTCAGGCGTCGGACGTCCGGTCCCGGCCGGTCGTCCGGTGGCTGGAGCTTCTTTCGTAGCCCTTCTTCTTGTTCCTCGCGCTTGGTGTCCTCGCCTTCTGGTCCATGGGCTTCCTCTTGGTTCCTGGACATGCATAGCACACAAGTTTGAGGTAGTAGCCATGTCTCACATGTGGAAAGTGAAAGTTCGGAGAGGAGCGAGTTCACCTTGTGTCCAAGGGTGTATAGTCGAGGTCTCATCTTATGTATCCTTGGGGCTTGGAGAGTAGTCGGAGTGTACATGGGGATGAACGTGGGATGCTCCGCATCATTCCTTGTGTGGCCACACATCCATCTCAACACGTGCATCTCCGCTACACCTAACTGTTGAACATGTCGCCTTTTAGTCGGCCAACAATCAGCGCCATACAACATTGCGGGTCAAATCGCCGTCCTATTGAACCTGCCTTTTAGCTTTTGTGGCACTCTCTTGTCAGAGAGAACGCCAGAAGCTTGGCGCCACTTCATCCGTCCGGTTTTGATTCGATGGTTCATATCTTCATCGATGTCCCCATCCTTCTGCAGCATTGACCCCAAATATTTGCATAGATTTCTTGGTAGACATCGGCAACTCTGTAAGACTAAGTGGGGGATGTGCTCCAGTTAGAGTTACACGATGCCACTTGATTATCCTCCTACGTGCATCGGAATCGAAATAGTTTGATGCAATCCTAGAATCATGTGATTCAGACCGTGATTTGGACTATCCTTGATCTGAGATATCTACTTTATAGATGCCGTTTTAGCACAATGTTATTCACTCCATAAAGAAATATAAGAGTGTTTAGATCACTAAGGTAGCAATCTAAACGCTTTTATATTTCTTTACAGAGGGAGTACTTCGCTGCTATCTTTTGATATAGTACATGTATATGTTTTTCCTTAGTGTAAAAATTGCGGACTTGTGTTCCTAGCTAAAGTCATGCTTCCGAGTTTCTCTATTGCATCTCTCTTTGCAGTGCCTGGTGGAGGAGTAATCCAGGGTACTGCCAGTGAAGCAGTTCTTGTTGTACTATTGGCTGCACGAGATAGAACTTTAAAGAAGCATGGGAAAAAATCCCTTGAAAAGTTAGTAGTTTATGCATCTGATCAGACACATTCTGCTCTGCAAAAGGCATGCCAGGTATCCAGATATCTCCAACCAAAGTCCCACTAGAATGTTTTCCAGTTATTTGTTATGAAGAAATTACCTGTCTTTTGTGTTCTTCAGGTTTGAAGTTATTTCAAAGAATTACAATTAGGTAGTTAGATAAATATGCATTATGTTCATGCACTTTTTATTTTATTTTCTGTTGACCTGAGGTAAACATTCTGTTGAAGATTGCAGGAATTTTCCCAGAGAACTTCAGAGTTGTCAAAGCTGACTGTAGTAAGAACTATGCTGTTGCACCTGAAGCGGTGACAGAGGCCATTTCCATTGACTTGTCATCTGGCTTGATACCATTCTTCATCTGTGCAACAGTAAGCAATAAGCCATGCTTTCTTCGCGTGCAAACTTCTTTGAATTAGATAATGGAAAACTTGTATGTGAATTTCAACATTATATTGCTAGAGATATATGCATTGTTGTTTCCCATTTATATTAGGATTCCTACTTATCTCCTCTCTAGTACATGTATATATACTGGCCTTGAGCGCATGGAACAGATCAAGTTGCTTACATCTCAACATGATTTACTATACTATTTTAGTGAACTACTTGAGTTAATATATACTCATATACTCCCTCCGTTCACAAATATAAGATGTTTTCTATATTTTCAATATGGACTATATACAAACTGAAATGAGTGAATAAACACACTAAAACGTGTTTATATACATCTGATTCAGAATAAAGTTAGAACATCTTATATTTATGAACGGAGGGAGTAGTTACTAAAAATTTGAGATCCTGATATTAGACCAGCGTCTGTTTATCCTATTGGTCATGTAAGTTTTTTGGAAAAGGAGGCTCACCCCCGGCCTCTGCATCTGAAAGATGTATGCGGCCATATTATTAATAAAAGGTTCGAAAAATAACAAGATCTTAGCTCCATTACAGCTCGCAAGAGGAGCGAAAACAAAAACAAAGAGAACTCAATGCCACAATCGGCAGGATAATAGGACTAGAACACTAGACGCCTATCCTATTATGAGACCGCCATCCAAACCGGTTGAATATAGCCCGTGCTACCATCTCCCACTGGGTGCACCCAGTAACCAAAGGCTCCCTGGAGTCCATAGGAGTGAGTAAGGACCACGTACGGATCCATGTTGTAGCTCTGAAGATGACCTGCAAGAATGTTAAAAAATGTTGTCTGTTCAAGATCATATCATTTCTGCAGTTCCATATAGCCCAAAGAAGCGCACATATTCCAATCCGAATACGAGACGCAGTAAGTAAATCAACTCCAGCTAGCCAGGTCCCAAATAATGCTTCAATACTAGTTGGAGGATTAATGTTAAAGGCTATATGAATCGTTCGCCAAAGTAATTTCGCGAGAGGGCATTCTATGAATAGGTGTTGTGTTGTTTCATCATGATCACAAAAACAACATCGTGCACTACCTACCCACCGTCGCTTTAGTAAATTATCTTTGGCAAACCACATGAAAATTTTGATACGCAAGGGAACCTTAACTTTTCAAATATGTAGTGATCTTGGGATTGGGCCAGAATTAATTAGATCCACGTACATAGATTTTACCGTAAACACACCATTTCTGGTTAGTGTCCAGTGAAAGGAATCAGGTTGGTCGGTTAGTTGAACTTCCATCAACCGCCTCACCAAATGTAGCCAGGAGTTCCAACGCTCCCCAACTAAAGATCTCATAAAGTGTATATTTAAGGGCACCTCCTGTAGAATATTAGCCACGTAATCCTCCTTACGTTGAACAATATTGTATAAGGTGGGGTACTCTAGCGCTAGAGGCGTCTCCCCTAACCACGTATCCTCCCAAAATTTTGTTGTCATGTAAGTAATGTTGAATAATATTGTTCACGATGTAAGTTTCTGACGATGGGAAAATATTACATGGAAAGGTTCCTCAAGTTGTAAATTACATGATAATAAGCAGAGTACAGGTTTCAATGCAACCTCAAATAACTTGTAGTTCTACGAGAGTGATTTAATCTCATCTACGAGATAAAAATGACAAAATGCACTACTGGTATCCATTGCATGGTCACTAAGCACTTGTCTTTTTTGTGTCTCATAAATGAGATTGAATTTGATCCTTACATTTTGCACTGGATATAGGACATCCATTTTCTATACCTACTGATTATTTATGAAGTTTTTGGAACTTCTATACCATCTTGTCCCAGGATTGCAACCAGGACATCCTGATCATATAAGCCATTCTAATAGATATGAACATTATAGTGTTTGCAATATACGAACTGCTCCCGCACAGAATCAGGTTTGCAGTTATTTCCACCTGAAAGATATTGCCTTAGAGGCTTAAAACCATACAATCCCCGTACCCCCCGGTTGTGTCTTGAGAACACTCCCCGTAC